TCACCTTGCTGTCCCATGGCAGAGTGGGATGCACCTGTGTCTAGTTTTCTTCTCCTTTGTGCTGTGCACCAAGCACCGTTTCTGTCTCCAGGCTGTGAGGGGCTCTCCCGACACTGCTCTACTCTTATCTACCCCTTGTCTCCAGGGTGTTTAGGAACAGGAAGCCCCCACCCACCCTTGGGTTTTCTTTGCAGTAATCCTTTGTTGTACAGGCACTGCAAATATTTTCTTCCCCGCTGACACTTACCTAACTTTGATCAGAGGTCACTCAGAGAGTCGCCAGCAGGACTCACAGGCAGGATATCTGCTTCAGGCTGTTTAATTCATAGCCCCCCCCCCCCCACTCAATCTGTAAAATCCTAGCAGCCACCTTAAGAGGGCTGCATGCTGTGGTACTGAGGACTTCAGAGGCTCAGTCATACCCATCTGGCTTCTGCTTAGAGAATCCATTTGCCAGAGGGAAGCTAAACTTGGGACTGCCTTGCAGAAGGCCACATGGTAAGCAGGCTGGAGCCTGGGCATGTCTAGCCCGGACTGATGGACATTGAGATTCTCCTCTGTCTCAGCTCTCGCTGCACTCCCATCTATACTGAATCCGCTGGGCTATTTGGATTTAATGAGTCATTATCTATGGACTGTGGACAAAGAGTAAAGTATTGGCTCCCCCACTATTCAGTCCTATAGCACAAACACAGTGGAGCCTCTTGTGCCATGGGCTGGGGTCATAGTGAGAAACAGATACTGCCTAGCTTACCAGAGGGTAGAGCCTGGCCAAAGATGCCTTCGGCTTGGCTCTTCATGGCTTACTTACTCAGACACATCCAAACACTGCCTGGCATGTGGGAGTGGGGATGGGGGTGGGGCTACTGTGCAGCACTGGGGCCAGAAATATCCTGAGGAACATCATCAGCTGTCACATGGGAATCTGAGAGGTGAGTGAGACATAGTGTAATGAAGGGGCGATACCAATAAGCTAACAGGATTTTACCGTCACTCCCTGCCAGGGTTTCCTGGGTTGGCTGGCTGCTTGTGTGAGCACACACAGTCTGCACACACGCCTGCACACACCTGTGCCCTGCCATCACCACTTCCAGACTTAGACGTAGTCTCCTGCTTTCCAGAGAATAGAGGGCACAGAGCCCAGCTAGGTCTCTGACAGACCAAGTCCTGGAGGTTCATGGGAAAAGGCCACTCACAGTCCAGGGCAATGACCAAGAGGGTAATTATAACCACAAGAACAGACTGACCTTGGAGCTGGCAAGGTCTCCAACAGAGATGGCCCTAGGTGGTACCCTGGCCCTTTTTGAAGGCAGCAGTCTGAGATAGTGTACTCTCCTTGTCCTCCTACCTCCCCGTCCCTGTCAGCTTCTGGGCAGCGTTCCTTCCACCTCATCAGTCCTCAGGAATCTTCTTCCAGCTCCAAGACTGGCTCCTGTCAGCCTCCATCAGCCTGTGCATCCCACACAGACTTGGTGGTCCAGGGGCCAAGATGCAAGTTGGGCAGGAGAGAGAACAGGTCAGGAGGTTTGGGGAGCTGGAATCTGACAGGTTAGGCCTCTGGGTGACTCCAGGGAAGATGTGATATGGCCTGGCTTTCCATTATCAAGTGTGTCCAAGGAAAGAGAACTCGAGTATATTGACATGATATCCAGTTGCATGCAGAACCCTGTGCCTGAAGATTTCAGAACATCACACAGATCCCCCGTGAGATGGAGGAGAAAAGTAATTGGTCAGGGTTCCCCAGCCCAGAGGCAGAGCCAAGGGGTGGCTCCTTCAAAGCTAGAGCCTCCATATCGTGACCCATGCATGGCAAGGTAGACGAGAGATGGGGTCTGGCCCTGGGAGTTCTGAGGCCATCCTCTGCCCAGGCTACAGCTTTCTGTGCTATCTGGTTCCACTCCTTTGGGGACACTAGCTGAGGAAGGCACTGCAGAGTCCGCTAAAGGCTCTGCCCATGTGTCAGGGTCCCAGCAAGGAAGACTGGCAGGAAGCCCACCTTGAGAGTCTTGGTTTGTCCATTGGCAAAGTCAGATCAGGACTGCAGTCTGTTCCCCTGTGGAAGTGGCCTGAGGAGAACACGTCTGTGGCCTAGGCACAGTGACACACAGGTGGCATTGTTGGCCTGGGAAAATGTCCTAGCATCCCTGTTTGGGAACACAGTATCCTTACTTCATGGAGTGGGTGAAGACAGATGGTCTCCTTAGGAGCGGCCCTGTCTTATTCCTCAGGGAATAAGTGTGTTTCTCCTCAGGGTTAAGTGTGACCTCAGAAAGTAATAAAGTCACCACCATCCATGACAGCTATATGGCTTGCACACCCACAAGTTTAACAAGGCAGTGTCCCGGATACTCTCCAGTGATATCAGGCAAAGCTGTGACTCTGTGAATCATGGGATAGTGACTTTATGAAGAGGGCCTCTTCAAGACAGAGACAGCTGGGACCCCATCCAGCAGCAGAGCCTGCCAGACTAGAGACCACAGCAGGACCTGCCTCTCCCTTTCTTGGTTCCTTCCTGTCATTTTTTATGACCTCAGTCCCCTTGCTGACCTTTGGTTTGTTTGACACCTAGGGTATACCCCTGTTCCTATTTCTCATATGAATGTTATCTTCTGCCCCCCATGGCTGTGTTCTACAGTGCTGGGCACTCAGCTAATGCTGAGAGTAAATGTCCCCATCCCGTTTCCTAGGGGTACAGTGTTGGACCGCAGTCTGGGTGTCTCTTCCTGTCTGCTGTCTAGATAAGTAAAGACATCCAAGGCCAGACTCAGCATGGGAAGGCCCTACTAACTGTGAAGTGCTGTGCTGGCTCAAATGCAGCTCTGTTTGTAGGCGTGACTGTTTAAAAGACATCATCCTGTGCTCGTGCTCCTAAAAGAGGCACCTAGCGGCTGGCCAGGGAACAGGACTTCTCAGTGAGCAGCCAGTCTGACTGGAGAGTCCATAAATGTCTAACTCATCACATTTCTGTTTTCTGAAGAACCCAGAGCATGCTACCTTCTGTCATCAAGAAGCTGAGGTAACAGGCCAAGCAGAGTCCTCATGCCACCCTAGGTCCTCAGGAAAACACCTCGACTGAGGCTCAAGCTCAGGCCAGAATAGACAAGAGGTTTCCAGAGAGCGTGTTGGAGTGGGACTGTGCTCCATCTGATATCCTTTGCAAGGCAATTATGGAAGACAGACCAGAGACTTACTGCCTCCTCTCCTGACCCAGCACAAGGTGAGCTTCCTAACCCTGACATCATCTATTCTTTCTCCAAAGACAGATGCCTCTTACCAGCTGCATGATAAGTTAACTTAGCCTCTCTGTACCTCAGGTTCTCCTCACCTGTAGCTTCCCAGGTTTGCATAAACTGGCGCTTCATACTCAACGCTGACTGTTTATAAAGATCTCATTTGCATAGTTTGAATATTCTAAACAGTGCGGAGGGTGTCGACCGTTCTTTAATGATGTTCAACTTAGACTCAACTTTGTTGTGGGCCAATGAGCTTGTGGGAAGTCTGTGTGTCTCTCCTATTTCCTGGGCTGCCTCCTGCACTGTCTCTGTCTCTTTATCACTTTGAGATGAAGGCTGAGAAAAAGATACATTTTCCAAATGGGGAAACTGAGGCTCAGAGGTGTGAATCATTGTACCACATATCCTGTGAGGGGAAGTGCTTTGACTTGAACTCAGGGTTTACCTGATTCCAGAAACCCACTCTCAACCATTTTGTAGGTGGTGTGCCCAGGTTCTGGGAAAACAAACGCCTGTCTCAGATAAAAATGGTCCTAGGGTCCCTAGGCTCAGTCTGTATCCTTCACCAGAGCTCTGGGCAAGGGAGCAACCCTCATATGACCAGATGTTTCAGGCGTAGTCCCCTTGCCAGTGGCTCACAAGGCCACCACTGTGTTGGGAGAACACAGCGCTCCACAACCACTTCCCCTCCAACTCCCCATGTGTTTCCCACTCTTATTTTCTCTGGGCCCCTCTTTTTCTTTACATATCCCCCTCCCCCACTCTCCTATGTGACCTTCTGATTGGAATATGGAAGGTTCTTTGTCCTGAATAAATTTGTGAACTAGAACACCTGGGAACCTTCATTCACTCAGTGCTGGCAAAGTGCGACCCCTTGTGGAGAGAACTCTTCCTGGTTTACAGTAGGATCCAGCGTTACCCGGCCAGGGAAAAGGCCCTCTGCTTTGCAGAGAGTAAGCCAGCCTTTGATGTCACCTGTACAGAGAGCTGGAAGAAGCCATGGGGAGTTCACACGGGGCCAGAATTCTTGGGAAATAATATTCCTCAGTAGCTCACTCAGTTCAGCTGCCAACATCTCGATCCTGGGCGGTCATTAGTGCCAGCTGGGGACATTTAAATAAGAACACAGGCTGTGGATAGGGCTTAGAGGGAATGCTTGCCCTGCACATATGAGGACCTGAGTTTGAATCCCCAGTGCTTGTGTGAAACGCCAAACATGAACATGGGTGCCTGTAACCTTAGCATGAGGGGAGATACTGGGGGATTCCGTATCCAGGAAGACTATTCTGTATAGGTTGGGCTTGATGGGTCCATGCTCTTGTGCTTTGGTGGAACCTGGGTGTGAAGTGTGTTGATCCCAGCCCCTCTGGAGAAGCAAGTGGGCTCACTATTGCAAATTGTTGGCATCTAAAAGGGTTTATGGAGACTAGACCCTTTCTACTTATTTTTCTATAAACTTAAATCCTCCCTGCCTATATAAACAAAACAGGATGAATGGGAGACAGAAAAACAGGTGACAGAGCCACCACACTTGGGGAGATCACCACCACATCTCATGGCTTTCTGTCCCTTGTTCTAGGGAAACTTGAGTGCTTTCTTTCATCCCAGACACAGGTTTTGTGGGGTGCGATCGCCACCTGCTGGCCAGGAAAGACATTGTCAGTCACGTCCTGTGTCCTTTGCTGAGGGGTGGTGGGGCAGGTGCTCCCCACCCCCTACACACATCTTGTGTGCCACATCTGATCATGTCACTGGTAAATACCTGGGAAAAGGTAAAACTCTCATGACTTTATTATAGGAAAAGTCCCAAAGTGTGTGGGGGGTTGGAGGGGGTGAGGCACAACCAGGGCTACCTGGAGGATTGGCCCACAGTTCTGGAGCAGCAGACAGGGACACACTTGCTGTTGAGGCTTTCAGGGTGAAAGAAATGGGAGCTCTGATCGCCTGCCACCAATCTTACACACTGTCCATTGTTAAATGATCAGACTGATCTCAGCACCATCCTGGGTCTGAATACAACTGGAGGTACCTTCTAACACAATCCTTCCTTGTTTTATATTCAAGGAGTAGAAGACAACAGCGCAGCTAAGTAACTTGCTCAAAGGCACACAGCCAGTGAAGGGTGGACCAAGGTTGTGCCTTGAGAGACCATGCCCTACCACAAAGTCACCTTTGTCTCCTGGCTTCCTTACTTGATTCGCAGGCACGCCATTCCACCCTGACTCCACGGTCTAGCTGGTCTGGAAGAAGAGCTAAATGTGACCATATTAACCCAAAGTCAGAGTCCAGCAGGAGGCTTAGGCCGGGAGCCCCGAAGAGCCCATGGGTTGCTAGGGCTGCAGCTCATATTGACCCTCGGTGGCTGTGTAGAAGTCCTCCAGCACTGACTGCAGGAACTCAAAGGTAGGCCGCTCCTCCGGCCGGCCTCGCCAGCACTCAGTGATGATGTCATGGTACAACTCCGGTGGACACGTCTCTGGGCATGGCATTCGGTAACCATGCTCCAGGTTACGGATGACCTCAGGGTTGCTCATTCCTGCAGGAGAGTGGACAAGGAGCTTCAGAGCAGGTGGTGCTCCAGGAGTACAGTCACTGGCCCTGAGGGGCACTAGAAGGGAGAGGCTCGGACACGCTATGGCCAGTGTAATCCTAGAAGGTGTCAGGATCGTAGTGCCACTTTGGTTTTTCAGACAGGTTATTCTTGTATAGGCCAGACTGGCCTTGAATTTAAGATCTATCTGTCTCAGCCTCCCAGATGCTAGAATCACAAGCTTAAGCCATTACGCCTGGCTCTGATGTCATTTAATTCCACTCTAATCTCTCTCTGCCCCCCTCCTCTCCTCCCCCCTCCTCCCTCTCACTCTGCTCTCTTCTTGTATATGTGTGCCCGTGCCAACGTGTGTGTGTGTGTGTGTGTGTATTTGAGAGCAGAAGCATAAGCAGAGGTCAGAGAACTGACAGCCTCCAGTGTCTATCCTTGCCTTCATTCTTGTTTGAGACACTGTCTCTTCATGTTATTTGCCGCTGCATACTCCAGGCTAGGTGGCCTTTGAACTTCCGGGGTTCCTCCCATCACTACCCTGTCTCACTGTAGGAGTGTCAGAGTTACAGACGTGCTCTGTTGTGCCCAGCACCAGCCCTGGGCTCTGGGGAACCAGGATCAAGTCCTTTATGCTTGTGTATCAAGCATTTTACCCCCAAGACCATCTTCCCAGCCCCGGTGCCATATTTAAGAATGTCCTTTGCTTTACATTATTTGGAGAAGAGTTGGGAAGGAGATGTAGGATTTCCCATGGTCATAGGCAGCTTCTCCTGGATGTCACCCATGTAAGTATTCACTGGAGGGAGATGCTGTGGAAACACCCACCCACAGCTGTTAGCTGGGCCCGCCTCGTGACTTAGGCAGGGGTCTAGGTCCTTGTCTCAAGACTGGACTTTGGCGATCCCACCCTGAAAAGCTTGTCCTCAACCTACAACAAGCCGTCCCTTGGCATTCACCATACTTCCTGGGGCTCCATCTGAGCTCTGTCCAAAGAAAGGATGGAGTCCTGCGGCCCTGAGCAGTGTTGGGAAGGAGAGGAAGCCCACAACCAGAATGCAGGTCTGGGCTTCAGTCCCTGTGACAGGACCCTGCTCTCACTAGTATGACATACCCATAGTCAGTGAGCCTGGATAGTCACCCTCAGGATGTTCCAGGAGGATGATAGGAAGGACAGGGACTGTGCCTACCTGGGTAGGGAACACGCCCATATGTGACGATCTCCATCAGCAAGACTCCGAAGGACCACACATCAGCCTTGATGGTAAAAACTCCGAAGTGGATGGCCTCCGGGGCAGTCCACTTGATGGGGAACTTGGCCCCTGTCAGGAAAGTGTAGTAGCTCCAAGGGACAGCCAACCTTCCACCCCCAACCCACAGCAGCCCTGCCCCTATCTGCCTGTTCCCACTGGAGGTCTTGCAGGATGTGTATACTAGATACACAAGGATATAGGAAGACACAGTCACTTGCTACTAACCTAGGAATCCTTCAAAACAGTGTCAATGCCATTGGGTAGTGGTAGTGCACACCTTTAATCCCAGCACTTAGGAGGCAGAGACAGTTGGATCTCTAAGTTCAAGACCACCCTGGTCTACAGAATGAGTTCAAGGACAGCAAGGGCTACATAGGGAAACCTGTCTTTAAAAACCAATAAAACAAAACAGCAAAAACAAAACCAACAACAAAACCAGGGTCATCTATCTGTTTTATTGCTCTGTTTGCTTTAGATTTTTTTGGAGACAGGATCTTGAGTATCCCAGACTGGCCTCAAACTCAATCGTTGCCAGGGGCAGGTGACCTTGACCTCCTAATCCTCCTGCTACCACCTTCCAGAGTGCTGGGATCACAGCCATGCACCAGCGCGTCCCATTTAGACTCCTCTGGATATGAAACCATGGGCTTTGTGCCAGGGAGACACTGCTGTCTGAGCTACGTTCCCAGCCCCATGCATTGTCATCTGGCACTGGCCTTGTCCAGTGGCAGGGACCATGTGTGGGTGAGCCATTTTTAACTGCTCTATGCTTTCATCAGTGCTTTCCTACAAAAGCCAAGCCTGACACTCAGACACCTCTGAGGGCCACTGTGTGGAAAGGTAGGAAGGCCCACTGTCAGTTCAGATCATGACGGCTGCAGCCTTGGTTAGCACTGAGAGCCAACCTCAGGCTGAGGTGCCACTGGCTACTTTCCCCAGATGTATTCACTGTCCCAGGAGCCAGCCAGAAGTCCCTTGAGGGGAGGTGTAAGTCCCCAAGCTGTGGCTCTCCTCCTGACTCCACTGATAAATGCATTTAACGGACACTGCTTGCTCGATTAATGCACCAAATCCTCCTGCAAAGTCAATTCTCCTCTCTCGTAGTAACAGTACAGCATCTACGGGAACCCTTCGGGTCCAAGGGTTGGATGCTCATGCTTTAGCTGGAGCCAAGTTTTACTAAGTGTGCTCTGTGACACCCTCCTTCTCCAGGAGGTTGATAGGAACTGAGTGGGAAAAAATATTTTCTCACCTTAGTCTGAGGATCAACGGGTAAAATAAGGGGAAGGAAATGCAGGACTTCTCCTTAGTCTCTTTGCTAGATTCATGTGCACTGGAGTTTTCAGGATGGGGAGGAGAGAGCTGGGCATTCCAAGGCCAGTCTGAATGAGGACTCCCATGGGCTTGAGGTGATTTTCTGCCATCCCCACCCCCATCTAGGGAAAGGAAGTGCTGAGCTATCTCGGAAAGGGCTGAACACAAGGTCCATTGGTCTCCCTACTCAGCTCCATCAGCAAGGAGACATTCAAGGGGCCTCCAGGGAGCTGAGAAGTTCAAAGTGTGTGTGTGTGTGTGTGTGTGTGTGTGTGTGTGTGTGTGTAGGGGGGCACTCTGCTCACCCTCTTGGGCAGTGTATTCACTGTCAACGATCCTGGCCAAGCCGAAGTCAGCGATTTTGCAGCACAAGGTCTCAGACACCAGGATGTTGGCTGCCCGCAGGTCACGGTGGATGGAATTCATGCGCTCTATGTAAGCCATCCCTTCTGCAACCTAAGAGGACAGACCGCATGGTGAAGGGCAGCAAGGATGGAGCACACCAGCCTGAAAGGCCAGCCTCACATCCCCTGCCAGGTGAGAAGGAACAGGGCTGCGTGGGGAGGCGGGAGAGAGAAGGTGCCCACCCCTTCCCATGAGAGCAACACAGACGCAGGGCAGCAGAGAAGCTGTCGTCAAACAGCTAGGCTGACATCCCCACCCCTGTCCTCCCTTTTAGACAATTGTATCTACGGTCCTCTGGGCTGGGAATAGCAAGCAAGGCTGGGGCTATAGATAGCCTCCATGAGACAGGGAGAAGAAACGACAAGTAGGGGCGTAGCATGGAAGGACAGACCTCTCCCTCAATGGACACTTCTCTCAGAGGAGCCAACTATGCTTTGGAATCACTAATGTCCAGTGGGCTGGGTCACTTCCCTGAGAGGTTATAGTTATGACCTGAGACATGAGAAGCCATCTCTAGGACATAGAGTTAGGGCCAGTGATGAATAAGCTGACTGTGGCTGAGGCCCTGACCCTGCACCTGACCCAGGTGAGCAAGAGTGGATCCAGAGGAGCAGAGACTCTCACTGAAGAGGAGCCTTGTCTGTCCCATGAACCTGTGCTGTCTTTAGTCACTCACTGACGGATGGAAAAGGTGACTTCAGATCTCACCTGCTCCAGCAGGATGCCACCTTCTGAATGGCTCCTACTTGTCCAGGAACTTAGGTACATATAACAGCTTCTCTCCTATCGAGCCACACACCAGCCCCTGGCCCCGAATCTGTTTCCACGGGCCCTGCTTTATGCATGAGTCTCATTTATCCCCTTGCAAAAGCAGTTATGCATTTGCTAGCTCGGGCCCGTGAGGGTTGGAAAGCCAGAGTCTAAACAGCTTCTTTCTAGGCAACCCTGGCAGTGCTCACACTGTTAGCTAACACTTATGGATCTGTTTTAGAAAGGGAAAAAAAAACCCTACACAAACATAGAAGACAGAGGCCAATCTATGTCTGTGGAAAAGATGCTAGAGAGGAAAGGGGATCCAGGACTCTGTATATCTTCTCTCTGGTGCTCTGTATCCAAGGACACTAATGAAACTTGTTCACCCATTAATGAGCAGCAAACCGCTCAAGAGCAGAGCAAATCACCCCTCCCCCTTGTCCAGAAAAGCCTTGGTAGACATGGCCTCTGACAAGAGCTGGTCCTGGGCACTGACTGGAAATCTGCAGACAAAGAGTGTAAGGCAGTCTACACAGAAGTTACATGGCAGGGCACAGAACAGGAGAGCCGTCCTTGTGGCTGCAGAGGCCATGTGGAGAGGACCCAGTTTTACCTTGGAGGAGAGGCTTTGTACAGTGGGGTTAAAAGAGAATGGGCAAGGAGAGAGAAGAAAAAGGAAGGACGGATGGGCTTCTGTCCATCCAGTGCCTGCCTCAAAGTCAGTCGCCAGGGCTAATTTTCTGTATCCATCCTAGCAGCTGTGTCAACAGATCTCTGCTACCCCAGTGGAAAAAGACACTGTGACCTCAGTTCCTGAGCTGATAGCAGCTGCAGATAATATGGGATAGGGTCGGAAGTTAAAGTGGGCAAGTGGGTTAAAGTGTGGGCGGGAAGGCTCCCTTTATAGCTCTCTGTGTGTTGACAGTGTGTCTCACAGGCTGGCCACAGACCACAGCTTTCTTGCTGAGAGTTCCAGTTTCAACAGTCACACTCAGAGCCACCAGATGTGTCTTCCTGCCAGTTAGAACTCTCAGCTAAAATCCCCTCAAGGAGAAAGATACTGCTTCATCCTGATACTGCGCTCTCCTAGCAGTGTCTGGGAAGGTCTACATATGGATGAACTCAAAGGGAACCAAAGGCCAATCAAGCCAGGACAGTGAGGCCAGGCTCTTAAGATTCCTGATGGTAGAAGTGTGTATGTGAGTGAGTGAGTGAGTGAGTGAGTGAGTGAGTGAGTGAGTGAGTTTGTGTGTGTGTGTGTGTGTGTGTGTGTGTGTGTGTAGAGGGTGTCCCTAGAAAGTGTTGTGCCTGTACTCTATTGTCTCATACCTCATTAGGCTGAGGCCAGTTCCAGGGATGTACCAAGAGTTAGGGATCTTGGGACAGGATGAGAACAATGGAGAAGGAAGTCAGAGAAAAGCATGCCTGCCTGCCTGCCTGCCTGCTAAACAAAATTCTTGCCTATTCTCCTGCTTTTCAATGTCCACTGTAATCTCTACCTTCCTAATAGAACTACCCTACCCATCATGACTGCTCAGAATTGGAACTACAATTCCCAGACTCCCTTGCAGCCAAATGGGTCATTGAGGCAGAGGGTAGGGAGGATGTATTAAAGCAAATATAAGTGTGGTGAGAGGAAAGAAGGTGAGCTTTTTATCCTCATCCTCTTCTTGCTGGCTAAGAGGCAAGGGTGGGTGATAAAGCTTCAGCAGCTACCTGTTGCTCCTTGCTAGCAGGGAAGAAGATAGCAGTGAGTAAAATCTCTCATTTGTCCTCCTTTAGGGGTTTATATATTCAGTAGTCACTACTTCAGGCTTTCTGTCCTTCACAGTCTAGCCCACATCTGACCAGCACAGCCTCCTACCAGGGAATTCAGCATAGTCACAAAGCACAGAGCAGGGTGTCATCCCTCCAGGCTTCCTCTGCTTCATAGCTCACCAACCTGGGCTGACATGTCAATCAGCCTTGGAAGGGACAATCTGCTACCTTCATCGGTCTTCAGAAAATCCAGCAAGCATCCTAGGAAAAGAAAGACACCAACTGCAAAGTGGCTAAAGCCTGGCTTTGATGGCCTGCTCTGTGGATGGGAGGAGCCTCAGGCTTCAGGGAAACACTAGCTCCCAGACTTCCAAAAGTTAGTTCTCAGTCAAATTCAGGGGCATATCTGGGGTCTCTTGGGTCAGCAGAACTGGAGTGGGCCAGCTCTGAGCCTAAGGTTAGTGTTCTTTTCCAGCATGACGTTCTCATGGGTCTTCCTTGGTCCACTCCCCTCCTCGACAGATGTCCCCAAGGACCAAACATTAACAAGAAAACACCAGAAGAGAGAGCTGGAGCAAGTAATAAGTGTGGCTTTTCCACAGAGCCCACTGCCTTGGAGGTGCTCTTGAAAACTGCAGCCAGGAGGCAGGCACCCAGCATAGCCTGTGATGATGGCCCTCTTGGTAACAATTATTACAGTTAGCATGGTAGCATTGAGGACCTACAGGAGGTAAAGTGATGTCAGGGCCATGGGAGATGAGGTCCCTTAGGTCGAAGGCTGAGCCAGATCTGTTCCCTGGCCAACTGCCCCCTGCGGAGGCACTGCAGGGGCTGCCCAGGCCTGTTCCCCTTATCACCCACACTGTGAAATGTTCACAAGCTTGCAAAGTTCCCATCACTGGGAAGAGGTGGAGCAGGGATTATTAGATCCACCTTTGGATGCCCAATCTACAGCTCTTCCTAGTTTGCAAGGCTCTGCCCATCACAGTGGGCATCAAAGCCCACTGTGTGTATATTCCAGAAGCAAATATGATGTTCCAGAAACTCAGGGCTTGCTCTGGGAGTGAAAAACACACTCCAGAAGCAAAACTGGAGCTCTGGAAGGCTGAGCTTCCCCTGGGCTGAGAACATGGCTTTCTGAAATCTATTCTACCTTCTTTCTCAGTCTACCCCTCTCACAAGACAAAGCTTACGGATCTCCTATAGGAGCCCCCTGGACCAGGCAAACCCAGCAGCATGCTCCACTCTGGATGGGTGAGTTTCTGCCCTCTAAATCCTATCCTGTAGAGGGAGAGAGGACCCACCTCTGGCCATGTACTCAGTGACTATGTAAATGGGCTCTCTGGTGACCACAGCATAGAGACGGACCAGCCTCTCATGCTGCAGGGTTTTCATCACGTTGGCCTCGCCCAGGAAAGCTTCTGGAGACATGGTTCCCTCCTTCAGGGTCTTGATGGCCACCTTCATGTTATTTTTGTAATAACCTGAAAGGGTGGAAGAGTGAAGGAGCCATTCAGATGTTGAAGAAAGCCCTTGACCACAGATTCAAGCTCGCTCAATTTGGGTCAAAAGTCCAAGGTGGAACAAGCAGTTCCTGGCTTAAAAATTGGGAGAGCTGGATTTGAGACTCTCCTACTGAATGGAGGACAATGTAGTGATGTAAGTCCCTTGGCATCTGCCTTTATTAACTCATCTATAAAGACACATAACTCTGCTTCTATCCCTCACAGGCCTTTCAGGAAAGGGGGTGTGCTGCCCATATGGAGCTGCTGGCTGCCTCCTACAGCCAGGATCAGAACAGAAAGTAGAGAGAGGGAATTTGGGATGCCACAACTCACCCATCCAGACTTCACCAAACTGCCCGGACCCAAGTTTCCGGACCAACTTGAGAGACTGCCTGGGGATTTCCCATTCATCTTGGGCCCAGAGGTTCTTCGGGACCTGGTTCACACAGGGCAGGGTCAACTTCTGACACAAACCGTCCCCTTTCTCTGTTTCAGGAAAGAAAAGAGGGTTCTGGAGATCATCACACCAGATTTGCCTTAAGAACCACACTGTCCCACAACTGTGTCGCTTGCCTCTTCACTCCCATGGTGGCAGGTGGGACTTGATACCTAGGATCTGCACTCTCTGAGACTGCAGGTCTTTGCTACATTCTGAATTTCCCCATATCAAGCATTAGGCCTCTGATCTTGAAATCATTAAGCCGAAAGTTGGCAAGTCCTTAAGTCTGGTTTGGAGGACCCCTACCCAGTTGACTCTTACAGTTTAGGGTCATGTGATAGAGACCCCAGGGACTCCTCTGGGACCCCCTGCCCCAACGTCTCTTACTTGAATAGTGCTGGACCAGGGCCTGGAGGGTGGGGAAGGTGATCCGAGGAGAGATGTAATAGCCTCCGTCATCCAGTGAGCGGATCTTGTAGTGCTTGACTACCTCCCCCTGGGTGGTGACGTCTTTCACGGACAGGGAGAAGGCACCTAGAAGGTTAATAGACACATGCGAAGTGAGACACAGTAATGTAAGCCCAGGGCTATAGTTAAGGCTTGTGAGATGTGAAGAAGATTCCCAAAATTCTGTATTCAGTTCTCAGCCATTTCAGCACAAATTCCCTTCCTTTTGTCTTAACTCTGCTCCCTACTGGCTGTCTGACCCGGACTTCCTTTCAAGTCCCTAAACTGCCAGGGAATCAGGAACTCTGGAGCAGAAAGACCATTTCTCAGCTATCTATGAGTCTTCTGTTGGGGTACTTGGGATACAGAGAAATGAAAGGCCTCCAGAGGACTTGGAACTTAAGTATCTTTGATTTGAGGGATGATGGCTTCTCCCAGAGACTCAGGGCCTCCAGGGCAGACATCCTTCCCGGAAGCATAGCAAGCTATTCACCATAGGTCTTTCCAAATTTACACTGTGCTTTAGTCTGTTGACATTTTTGTATAGACAAAGAAGTAGGTGGCGAGGCACATAGGAAGAAAGAATTTCCAGCTAAGAAACTTCTTTCCTTGAGCCTTTATAAAATGCCTCTGTCCAGCCCTGTGGCTTCCATAGAATCTCCCATTTTCAAATTAGTTTCGAAATGAGGCCATTACATGAAGGTTAGGAGAAGAGCTAGCAGTAGGTATAGGGGTACCTGGGAGGGGACACCCCACCCTTCCCATGGACACATCTTTGAGGAGCAGTCCCACTCTCTACCACCAGGGGTCAGGCCTGCACACCTTTCGGTATGGGGTCCTTGATACTGTGATCCTGATTGCACGCGGTCCAGGCACAGCTGTTCTCATCTCAAGACTTTTCTCTTGTGTCTTTCCTTGCCAAACTGCCTCTCACAACTTACTTGCAAAAGTGCACCAAGAGGCTGCACACTTGTTCATCGTATCGTGAGGTTGCCACAGCCCTTGCTTTTCTCCAACCTCCTGTGACCTGTCACTCTCTGAGATGCTTTTTAAAGATTATCCAGTCTTGACTCTTTGTTTCCAAAATATGCCGGGTGTGTGTGGGGGAATGGTGGCTATCTGGTACCTTTCCTTTCTCAGCCCCCATCTGCCTCAGTTCACTAGTTTGTGACCATTGTAGCACTGGGTCTTTCCACTACCCCTGTTATCCAGTGGTGTCAGACTTAGGGCTGTGAGAATACCTAGTGTGGACAGCCTCAAAGCAGCTCTCAGGCAGGGACATGGGACAGAAGCCATGGAGCGGGTATCACTGCCACTCCAGGCTGAGCCTTGGTGGGGCTTCCCAGGACCATGCACACACAGCAAGGAGGTAGCGAGGCTCCTGAACCATGCACACACAGCAATGGGCAGCCAGGCTCCTGGACCATGCACACACAGAAGAGGCAGCGAGGCTCCTGGACCATGCACACACAGAAGGGGCAGTGAGGCTCCTGGACCATGCACACACAGAAGAGGCAGCGAGGCTCCTGGACCATGCACACACAGAAGGGGCAGCGAGGCTCCTGGACCCACCTTTATTGCTCTCGCTCTCTCTGATGAGAAAGGAGCCAACCTTGTTTATCGGAGCCAGCAACTGCCTCTCAGCATCCTTCCGGCTGATGGTTCTGAAGAACCATCTGGAAAATGGCAAGAGTGAGTGAGCCTCAGAGTTGGCGATACCCCTAAGTCGATCCTGAGATGTCCCTCATGTCCTGTTCAGTTAGGTGGCCCCTAGGTCCCTGCAACCCCACTCCATCCCATTTCTCATCAACTTTTAAGCTCACATTTTCCCTGAATGAAGCAAAAACATGGGTTAGGTAACCTCCGTTACTGTTAGTCTGCAAAACAGTTAGTTCCTGATCCACCACCCTTCCTCTGGCATGAGTTTGCAATTTCCTTGCTAGATGGTACTGCCAGGGGCTTTCTGGTCCCGGATTCCTTCCGAGACACCTCTCTTTAGCACGAGGCTTTTCGACACGTGTTGTGGTCAGATATGAAATACCCCTACAGGCTTGTATGTATTTGAAAATGTGGTCCCTGGCTGTTTCGGGAAGCTGTGGAACCTTCGAGATACGAGGTCTAATTGGAGGCCATAGAAGTGGCTTTTGAGGCGACGAGACAGCTCAGCTGTCGTGCTGGGGCTCTAGCTGCTTCCTGGTCCACTGAGCTGTGAGAGGCACCCAGTTCTGGGTCCCCACCATCATGAACTCTCTGAACATCATGAACATGGTGTGTCTTTTCTACCATGATAGACTGTACTCTCTCAAACCATGATCCAAAATGAATCCTTCTTCAGACTGTAGTTTTTTAAATAGCGATAAAAGAAATAACTGACACAACATGGTTCTGGGGAAAATCCAGGGCCCACAGTGTGTGGGAAGGGTAGGGAAGGAGGCTGTGTTACCACCATGAGGTGGGGCATGCTCATGTCTCTGTGCCATATGAGGGTGTAGGGGTGTGTCCCAGGTAGACCTTCCTGGTGTGTGAGAGTTGGTGATGAAGATGCCCACCTTCTGAGGACTGAGCCTGTCTCTGGCGGTGATGGGGAGTGGTCCCAGGACATAGAGCTTTGCTATGGATTTTGGAGGGGACCAGACACTGAGGGTAGTCTCATCCAAAGAAGCCAGGAATCAGTAGCTCTTCTTTCTGACTCCCTTGGCATCACTCAGAGTGTTAGAAGATTCCCAGCCCCTCACTAACAGCTGCTATTAAGCCCACTTCCTGGCCCTGCCATACCAAGAGCAGCGAGGGTAACCCTGACACCCCTGGCTTGACGAAGTCAATCTACCTACTTTTCTACTTCCAGGGTCTCTACTGGGGCCACATAGTTGCTGGGCACATATCCTTCTCTTCCTGTGACGAGTGACCTGGCCAACCACCAGTCTCCAGTGCTAGCGAAAAAAGGGGAGACAGAAATATGTCAGAGGCTCACACAAGATGCTCTGGGTAGCTCCCAGAACCTTACAACAGATCCCAATCTGGTAGGAGACAGTAAGGCAGAAACAGACAGCCTGGTGATAAGGAGGTGCCGTGGGAGTGGCCCATCCACTGGGATGAGCATGTGACAGGCAGAAGGGGTCACGGTGCAGAGGAGGAAGGGTAGATTTGTTTGTATAGCCTGAGGACCATGCCCTTTACTAAGTGGCCCCTGTCTTAATGGATGAGGCAGGTCCAAAAGTTACAGATAGAGTTGGAACTGGCTAAGAAAACAAACCCAGGAGGGGTGCTGATAAGGGAGGAACTGAAAAGCTATGTAGAGTCTAAGATCAGGGCATTCACTTATGGGTTCAACTCAAACCCACTGCAAACCTATAAGAGTAAAATCAGACCTTGGAGTTGCATGATCTGGGCCTGAAGGGTGGAGGAAGGAAGAAGAGGAGGACACAAGTAGATTGGAGAGTGTTCCAAGAAAGAACACAGAGAGTAAGTCAAAGTGGAGTGGCTGTGTGGGATCCAGTGAGACTTCCCGTTAATTTTAACAGCAGCCAGAAGGCCAGAAGTAGAAACCACCTTGCCAAAAAGACTTAGAAGGAAGGACAATGGCTCAAACCTAAGAGAATCCTGGGACCCAGGAGAGGGAAATGGCAAGAGAGAAGACCCTTTAGGGGTACCCCAGGGGTGTGCTTGGTAAACTAGGGAAGTAGACAATGGGGAGTCCTTGATGACTGGGAACAGGATGCTAGAAATTTACCTCTTCAAGACCTGGAGCTTCTCTCCCTTCAGCACCTGAAGGTCTCTGTCATTCACAGCGGCATAGTCAAACAGGGCCACTACAAAATGCTCCTCTGGAAAGAACAAGGAAGAGTTGGTTACCACTGGGGTCCACAACAGAAGTGGAAGTCTGGAGGAATGTGTAGTGCAAACCATCTTCCAGGTCCTAAGAGTGTTAGTGAGGGGGAAGCCATATGAGGCTGCTCTCTTGACAATGAAGAGCGAATTTTCAGGAAGTGACACCAGACCCACGACCACTCTAGGAGTAGGCCAGCCCTCATTGTCTAGCTCATCTTCCTTTCAGACCTAAGGCCTAGACAAAGATTTGGGGGTTGAGGGGACAGCTATCTGGAGGCAGCCATTGCCAGCCCTCAGAGCGCTGTAGGCTCAAGTCTAAGAGCCTGTAGCTGATCCTGCATCCAATTTGTCTCTGAAGCATCCCCTCAGCATCATTTCCCAGCCAATATCCCAAAGGTCATGTGACCACACCAGCTCTGCCCTCTCTATGGTATCCAAAGCTTCACGGGGACTCCTCTGGCTTTCAGCACCTGGCCTTCTTGGCTCTGAGTCTCTCCTGGAGGGATGTTGACAAGCCGGTGGTCCTGAGGCAGAAGAAGGCTCAGAAGCATGCTGGACACCTTTCAAATGATCACTGTTTGACACCAGGGCTCCCTAATACCTGGCAGAATCTCTTGGAGACTTGTAGTTCACAGATGACCTAACATTGTCATGGATGAGTGCTATGGTCTGAAGCTGGGACCTTCCCTTGGTGGGAGGAGGTTCAGTATGAATGACAAGAGTCCTTCACAGTGTTAAGACAAAAACCCCTTGTGCCAAAAGCAGTCAGTTATTTCTCTCCCTCAATCCTCCATTTTAGAGATGGGATAGCCCCTGCTAGAAAGTGAAGGATCGCGTATCTGATGGGAAAGATGGTGTCCTTACCTGGGTAAGGGACACCAGATGACAACACTGATCAGTTCTAGCACTTTGCTCATAAAGGTGACAGGCTGAGCCCTCCCAGGACAGGAGAGGTCTGTTACCCACTGTGACATCTTGCCCAGTCTTGGGAGACAGTAGTCTGTACGCTGCATGCTCCACATTGTCTGTGTGTGAGTAAAGGAGTGGTTTGTATGGCTGAGTGATGCTGGATGATGACAGCCAGCTCCGAACAAGCCCCATCCAGGGAGCCCTCAAAGCCCGAGTCTGGGCCTGAGAGGAAGCTCATTCATCATGTGACCACCATAGTCCCATCAGAGCATGGTGGAGTCTGGAGTGAAGTGAGTAGCACAGATGGCTGACCACAGAAAGAGGGAGGCGAGACAGTGTCCTCCATGTGGACCAGACCTCGTGCTGAGAGGGAAGGACAGAGCAGTCCCACTGCCCTTCGAGTTTAGGAACTAGAGTCTCAGCCAGGCCTCGGTGGTACCTGATATCTTCCCATAACTCCTTCCTCATTCTCTGTGTAAGCTCCCAGCTCCCCCCACTGCTTTCCAACCCTATAGGGCCCCCCACAACTGCTCTGGTTCTAACACACGGTATCCCTGGAGAGGTCTTCCCATTCCCCATTCTTACCTTCATCTGGGTCCTGGTTAGGAGACGGAGGGGCAAGGTGGTTGAAGACAACCTTGGGCAGAAATACAATGAGTTGGTGAGCAGTCTGCAGCAATGGTAGACTAGAGAACATTGGAGAACCAGTCAACTAGATTACATGTGGGTGCTCACTCTGAGAAAGAAGGGTAGCCACGTATAGGGATACTTAGATACTTAGATACAGTCTGTATACACTGAATCAGCTCCTTGGAGTACTGCTGTTACCCCAGGCCACCTGCCATCTTTGTCTTGATCATGTATGGAGATGCCCAGCACCAAAGGGAAAAAGCTCTGTCACCTCAGTTAAAATCCTGGGTTTCCATTAAAGAAGAAGGGGTGGACAGGCATTTATTGGCAAAGAAAGATATTTTAAAATTGTCTTTCCCTAAAATTCAATAAATATTCACAAGGTGTCTATCCCAGGAGCAGGATAGGAAGATATGCCTAGTATAGTAATAGTCACAAAGAAAGTGTTTTCATCATGGCAATCGTCCTTACGATCTGTGACAAAACAATGAAATAATGAACTATATCTACCATGTATCAGTGTGGTTAAATCTCACAAACACTGTGCTGGACCCACGGACTGTTATCCCCCTAGAACTGAAGCCCAAACAACCTTTCTTCTCTGGCTGGTCACAGTATTTATTATTGTGGCTAAGGCAGATACAGTAAGAGCAGCTGCCTTAAGTTCCTGCTGCTGTGGTATGGCCATCCATGATAGACTAACCCAGAACCATGAGCTAAAAGGATGAAGAAAGGGCCTTGGGGCAGGAGCTCAGGAGAGGTAACTCTAAGTATCTCTGGGAGGTGAAATAGTACGGAATTGTCATCTTTCTAAAGTACGGATGCATCAATAGCTTTTAAAAAGTTAAGCTCTAGGCTTCTGTTTATTAGTGTGTCACTTTGGGGAAATAACCTGGTCTAAGTTTGAATTTGCCCATCTTCTCGTTCATTCATTCACTCAATAAACATCTCATTGTGTGCAGAGTACTGTATGATGCTTTGATCCAGCTTGAAGAGGGGCCAGGGTTCATCTAGGAAAAGGAACCAGCAGTCTTTGCTCCCATCAGGTCTCCGTTAGGATCTTGGTGACGCCCACCAATTGCCCAAACTAATAGATTTGTGACCAAGCAGGAAATGGAATGAAACAGTCATCTAGACACATGAGCCTGAAGGGGCTGGTTCAGGGAGCGCCTTGTGCCTTCTTCCCTGGAAGGGACTGATCACTCACCCGGGGTTTCAGGGGCGGGGGAGCCTTGCTCTGGGTGTGGACCTTCACAGGGCTCCAGCCTTTGCCCTTCTCACTGAACTGCCTCTTGCTGCTCAGCAGACCCATCCTGTAGAAAGCAGATGGCAAACAGTGACAAGAGACCTCAAGATCCTGGGTCCCTGTGTCCAATCCCCTTCTGGTTAGAAATATGTGACAGTGCAGCTTCCCATACCAGAGAGTGGAAGAAGAGGCAGGAAGAGCTAGTCTGGCATCCATCTTTTTCTCAGCGACCCAGAGAGGGGAAATGACTGTGTTTAGGACTCGAATACCACCTGGCATGAGTCCCAGTTCTCAGCGACAGGAGCCTGACCCTATGTCTGGTGGTCTGAGTGTTAGTCTTATTTTGCCAGTGGTCCACTATGTCACTGGGAAGTTCCCTTTCCTCCTTGGTCCCACAGGCTCCTCCGTCAATGGTGAGGTTTGGTGTGAGCATGTCCAGTCGGGTGCTTTGAAGCTGGAGTTAAATGAAAGCTATGTGCAGAGAACAAACTGATAGACACTATGGTCAGGTTTGTTCTTTGGTTAAGAATCTTAGCAGACGTGGGAAAGACCCAAATCCAGACAATGAAATGAATACACGCATTCTTTACATTTTGGATTATTGATGGGGGAAGTGTGCAGATTAATAAAAAACAAACAACAAAATAAAGATGTGAAGAAATTTTATAAAATTTTTAAAAAATTTAAATTGTGTATGCATGGCTGTTAATACAAAGCAGTATCCCCCCCCCCCAAAAAAAGGTATTTCTAGAATGATAATACTGCTTACTTTGGATGATAGGGCTTCATATGACTTTTATTCTCCCATCTAACTGCCTATATTCCATGAGCACTTTAATAGTAAATACATACCCTGGTACAGAAGAAAAGTTAAAAGAACATCTTAGCAATTTGCCTAGCAACAGTGGTACTTAGGACCTGGGGAAAGGATAGTTCTTGGATGAACATGAAGTGGCTCACTTCCCTGAGTCTCAAGTATTTCCTGACCTCCTCATCTCCCAGGCTCAATGATAAGTCAACGAGCAGCAGGTTCTAGAACCTTCTCTGGACGTGAGCACTTCTGCACCTGTCCAGATGACCACACTCCTGTTTTCTATCTAGTCAGCCACCAAATGTGAACTTCCTGGGAAAACATGTCCTCTTTCCCAGACCACTTGAATATTTAAAGCCCCTGACAGGGAGTCCAGCTTCTATATACACAGTGATCCCATTCCTGACAGTCCATGAACAACTGGCTTTCCAGGGCTTTAGGGAATGTGTAAGTTCTCAACGAAGACTAGCTACATGCTAGTCACTCAGAAGGCTGTGAGACAATATTTCTTGTGACTAGGCTTGGCTAACCCTGAAGTCTCACGGTGGTTGAAGTGAGGGAGTGCAGAAGTCCACCAGAGAGGAGAGAGCACATGTAACCCTAGTATGGGGCTTGGCTTCATCCAGTAGACGTTGGCCTCCCTTCCAGGAAAGGATGGGAGGAGGGCATGAGTCTGCCTATCTGTGTGTATGCACGTGCGCGCGCGTGCGCACGTGTGTGTGTGTGTGTGTGTGTGTGTGTGTACATTTTGTGGGTTACTCAAAGGAGGATGTGAGATATTTGTTGCTTAGAAAAAAATTTTGACCTCCATGCAGACTCTCACAAGAGCTCCCTATCTGTCCCTGGGGAGGTGCTCAAAGCCCGAAACCAGCCCCAGCCAAACAGGGGATGTGGTGAAGGCAACAGTTAAAATCAGAGCTGAAGCCCCTTATTCACATCTGCTGTGTGTGTCATGGTTGAAAAGCGCTCAGCACCTCCAGTTTTGATGTTTGCGATAGCATCAGTGGCCTGGCTGCAATAATCCTTGCATCTGAAGCAGGAGAGCCACGGAGGCTTTAAGGTGACATGGAAGGTGGCAGAGCCGCAGCTCCGACACTGGGACCAGCTCACACAGGAAACAGGTGACCCTGCCAGGACAGTTCAGCAGTCTGCATCTCTGCTTTCTCCCCTTCGTGGGATGCCACCTGCCTACGAAGCTTTCTAAGCCACTTCTTTCTCCCCATTGTGCTCAGGGGTTCGGTGATCAGAGCTCAGAGCAACCTGCCCACCAGCTTTGTGACCATGGGCAAATCATTTCACTTCCCTGAGTCTGTCTCCTGGTTGATGCACTGGGATGGGTCCATTCTCTAGCACTGTAGACAAAACCCTCTGGGGAAGGTATCCTCGCACGTGGCTGAGAAAGCTGAATAATTGACTTCCCATCTGGGATAAGGTCTTAGTGTTCGAAAATTTCAATTCCACCTTATCTATTTGGCTTGTCTCCACAGTCCATTTTCAGCTGGTCACAGCGATATTTTAATTATGCTCTCCTGCGACAATGGGCTATGTCTACTCATGTAAAATATGGGTTCCCTGGGCAGAATAGTTGTCCTGACCCTGCTGAGCTCCAGGGTGGTTGTGGTTGTTCATTCACTTACTGAAGTGCTCCCACCTGGGCTCAGTGCACAGATGTTCGCCTGAGTTGATACATACAGAGCAGATATATAGGTTTAAAGTCAAAAGCCAACAACCTGTACACAATTAACAAACATAGCCAAGTGGCCCCCACAAGGAGAGGACAAGAAAGGAGCAAGGAACAAATGGGACAGTAAATAAACATTTTGTTCTGTTCTTGTTTCTTTTCTATTTTGGATTAACACAGGTAAGAGATTGTTTCTGGGTGCGGAGGAACTAGTGAGCAGCCTGTGGGGTTCATGGTTCTTTCCATCCTGGGGGCTTTATCGTTTCTAAGGTGGTCCTGCGGTGTATTGGGATTGTCTTGTCTTTGAGGGGCAAGGTTTGGTATAGCAAACCTGAAGGTTTGGCAGTGGGCTGAACGACGATGTCCAGTGAGATCCTTGGACCCAGCAAAGCAGTGAGCCATTTATGTACCTATGCTGGCACTAGTAATCTAGAAAGCCCTTGTTAATCTAGAAACAGGGGACCCCTGGTTGAAAACAAGTATCATGGATTAAGTCACTGCTAGGGTATAGTGTATGGCTTCAGGTCTGTCTGACTCTGACTCATGCTTTGGAGTGGCAGGGGCTATCTGGTATTAGGTGCTGTTTGCACCTATCCTGACACTCCACCCATAGAACACTGTTTTGGGGCATAGTAAGGAAGAAAGGGTACAGGATATAATTGTTCGCCCTTCAATAAGTTGCTTAGAATTTTAGTGTGTTAGTTGGAGTAGTGATTATTTCTGTCCTCAGGGTGTTATAAAGATTTAATTAGTATTACTCATTATTAGTACGTCTTAGAACCATGCCTAACTCACCTAAACATCTAATAGGCACTGTTCCTGTTCTGCTACATACCAGAAGAAGCAATGGTTACAGTCCCTTCAGTAACCATGAGAAGTGTTACAAGTCCCCTTCTGCAGATGGCAGTTAGGGACAGCAGACATCTTTCTACCGCCCTGTGCAGTCAAGGATTAGCAAGTCCAGCCTTCAGTTGCAACTTCATATCAACTCCACACCTGAACTTGAACAGCCCCAGCCATGGCTCTCAGAACTCTATAATCTTCTGTTCATTTGGTCTCAAACATTCCAGCTCTACTAACGATGTGCTGTATCTTACCCAGTAAAACCTCATCCAATAACCATCCGATACTAATCTCACGCTGGCTTCATGCCTGGTTTGCCCTTGGGATTCCAACACAATCATACATGATGTGTGATTACTATTCTCCTGCCCCAACTTTGACAAGTTCCATGTTCCTTGATTTATTTGTAAGGCCTGTAGAATGTTCTGTGTTTTGGACTTTGCTTCCTTGTTATGGTTCATATCACACATCTCTGTCTCTCTCTGTCTTTCTTATACATGGACCAAAAGCCACAGGCTCCATTGAGTCAGATGCATCTTTTCCTGGTACAGGTGTTATTTATGTGACGTGTGCTATGTAGGAGGCACCGAAACTAGAGATGGTAAGATGGATCAAAGTTCAGGTGGTCTGTCCACCCGTCCATCAAAATGTGCTCACTAACATTTCAGCTGATTTCTTCCTTGATGGTTTACAAAAGCTAGAACTATGATTTCATCATGCATTTCACATTTGTTAAGTGGGGCCTGAGAGAAGAAAAGTCACCCCAGGAAAACTGTCAATCAATCTAACCACAGGCAGTATTTTCCCATGGACATTTGAGGCAGGAAAGGTGTTCAGAAAATGAGGATTTTTCCATTAACCTGATTGTAGAGTATGTATCATAATTATTTAAGGGAACACAGTCCAAGTTGTGTGAAATATTTTTGAAAGACTGGTCATTTGGGACTGGAGACATGGCTCAGTTGCTAAAGGCACTGGCTGCTCTTCCAGAGCACTCTGGTTTGATTCCCAGCCACCATGTAGCCATTCACAACTTATAACTCTAGTCCCTGGGTATTTGAGAACCTCATCTGTGGTGTACAGACTGGGCACAAGCAAGCAAGCAAACAAATACATATATTTTAGAGAGGTGATCACTTCTGATAGTTCCGAGTTATCTTCCATCAAAGGATTCACCATGTGTACTGGCTGTTTTTATGATAACTTGATACAAGCTAAAGTTATCTAAGGTGTGTGGGGGGGGACCGCAATCATGAAAATATTTCCCTAAGATTAGACTGTAGGCAAGTGTGTAGGGCATTTTTGTAATTAGTGATTGGTGGGTGGAGGGGCCACACCATTGTGTGTGGTGCCACCTGTGGGCTGTGGTCTTGTGTTCTATAAGAAGGTGGGCTGAGCAAACCATGAGGAGCAAGTCAATAAGCAGCTCTCCTCCATGGCCTCTGCATCAGCTCCTGTCTCCAGGTTCCTGCCCTGCTTGAGTTCCTCTCCTGGATTCCTTTGATGATGAACAGTGATGTGGAAGTGTAAGCAAAAAAAAAAAAAAAAAAAAAAAAAAGCCCATCCTCCCCAAGCTGCTTTGGTCATGATGTTTCATCACAGCAATAGTAACCCTAAGACACCATGTCTGACCCTACTTAGCTCCCGAGTAGTCTATTTTCCCAGCATAAGCAATGGGCTTGTTAGGAAGATGTGGCTTTGTACCATGTAGCTGAGTGAGTGAAGACCCCTG